AGGAGTGCCTGCCTGTATTTTGCCCTCAGCTTGCCCTAGGCTCCCTCATCAGCATGATAACAGATTATTGAACAATTCAAATAAACAGAATCATCACAGTGTTACTGAAGCAATTCTAGACATTTATATTAGGGACTTTTCAACTTTTAAGCCATGAAATACTTTATTCAAAATAAATGTATATGAAAGCCTAATATATGAAAACAGAATGAGTATTAGGGATATTAAACATCTCTCATAACAAATTTTTATTACATTATTATTTGAAAGTTCAAGGTGGACATTTAAAAAAAATGTTTAATGTTTATTTATTTTTGAGACAGAGACAGACAGAGCATGAACGGGGGAGGGTCAGAGAGAGAGGGGACACAGAATCCGAAGCAGGCTCCAGGCTCTGAGCTGTTGGCACAGAGCCCGACGCAGGGTTCGAATTCACGAACCATGAGATCATGACCTGAGCCGAAGTCGGAGGCTCAACTGACTGAGCCACCCAGGAGCCCCAAAGGTGGACATTTTAAGCGATATACCAGCATTTGCCAGAAAAAAAGTTAAGTCAGAAGTCTTTTGAAACTTTTTGCCAGACTCGGCTTTAAGTATTAGGGAGATGGCCATTTAGAAAAGTCAGAGCAGGGACGCCTGGGTGGCACAGTCGGTTAAGCGTCCGACTTCAGCCAGGTCACGATCTTGCGGTCCGTGGGTTCGAGCCCCGCGTCAGGCTCTGGGCTGATGGCTCAGAGCCTGGAGCCTGTTTCCGATTCTGTGTCTCCCTCTCTCTCTGCCCCTCCCCCGTTCATGCTCTGTCTCTCTCTGTCCCAAAAATAAATAAAACGTTGAAAAAAGAAATTAAAAAAAAAAAAAAAAAAAGAAAAGTCAGAGCAAAAATAGTAAGTAAACTATTCACTATTATTACAGAAACATGCTAGGAAATTCTCTTTTCTACTAGAGTTGTTAAGAACTCTGCTATACCTAAAGAAGGAAAAAAGGAAAATTTAATGAAACAAAAGAAAATTTCCAAATCACTTGCACTTGACTTTGGAATGCCCTTGACACAAATTCTCTGGCTTCATGCTTGCTCCACCCTAACCTCAGCAGCCTGGGGACAGTTTAGGAATGTGAAAGTGGAGGTTTGACGTCATTACAGAAGGCCAACAGTGGATCCAGAGCTGCCCATTCACACTGATGCTAAAGTCTTATGATTATAGAGGTGAGAGCTCAGATGGTTATGTTTATTCTCTTTAACTGTCCTCCTGGCTTCATCTAATCCAGTCCCCAGTCCGCACTCACCCCCACCCCCTGCTGCAATCTCTTCCCTCTATGTCATTTCCACTGCCCTTGTCAACTCCCTCTTTTCCCACTGAACTATTTTAGCCATGAGTAGCTGACACAGTCAGAACAGTTAAAGAAGAATGAATGACCTTACTTGCCTCAAATTAAAGGAAGTCTCCAGAAGTGCTTTCAGAGAGACCATACTTCCCTGCATTGTCTGGTACCCTAAAGATTCTCTCCTGACCATGTGGACCTTCAACCAACCCGACTGCATAACTTATTTTCTCCCTGACTCCAAGTGCCAAAATACTTGCTAACACAGGAAGGAGAATCATGTTAGATAAATTTTAGATAAAGTATAGATATTAAGAAGGAAAATAAGATGAAATTAAGTTCCAGGGAGTCACCATATGGGCTCCTGATTATCAATCATTTTAACAGCTAAATGAGTTTGCATTACTTCTAACTCTTAGGGCTACAAATGCAGATGTGAACATTAAATGCCTCTTTAAAAAGTGAAGTGAAAAATTTGCTGGTTAAGCAACTTTAGTATTATTTGTACAGACTTCTTGAAGAGAAAGTAATAACAGTTAATCATTACCTGATATTTATCATGGAGCAGAATATGCAAAATATAAAGGAGGGAATCATCTGAAAACACCCAATCCAAGGAACAAAAACAAACCCATGCATAGCAAAGAATGGCATATGTAAAGCTGTCTTGTTCAACGTTCAATAATATTAACTGGGCATCTATTATAAGCCAAACATTGCACTATGCATTGAGAACTCACACAACGGGAACAAAGATCTCTCTGTGGGGCATACAAAGATAGAATTCCTCTGTGGTTCAGGTTCAGGACTGTATTGCATTTAAATCAAGAGAAAATTTGAATTTTTTCTTTCATTACCCACAAAAGTTCTTGCCTGTTCAAATATATGATCCAGGAGAATTTTCATTACACTTGGTCCATTGCTATATTAAGACATCCTGAAGCTTCTGGGAACATCCTGAAGCTCCTGAAGCCCCAGAAGAACCCTCATTCATTCCTATTCTCCTATTCCTACTATATCGTGGCCTCCTGATTGCCTTCTCCCCCATCCCACACATTGCCTATAATGACAGGCTTTGCTCGTTGATCATTCTTATCCTGTTAGGTGTTTAAGCAGATCTTGACTTTTGGAATCCTCTGGTGGAGAAGTAAGAAGCAGAAATAAATATTTCAACACCTGGTGAGAAGTGTCAAAACGTAGATAGCTGTAAGTTTCCACAGACGTATGAAGGGGAGAACAGTTATGGTAGGCTCAGAGAGGAGGAAGGTAGGGGCAGGGTCAGTAAGGAGTACTTTGTGATCAAGACATGCTCTTTGCCCAAATGAAAATATTGATGGCGCCAGGAATCCCTCCTGAAAAAAAACCTAGATCAAAACCTGTGAAAGGCCCCAATTTTTGTCTCCAATACAAAAAGCATTCCGTTTTGTTGAACACTTTTTTCTTTAAAAAAAATTGCTCATCAGTTCTTGACAGTATTTGATGATTACTGTACATACAATTTCCCTTGGTTTTATATCAGTGGTGTGTTCCCCCACTTCTTCCACAAATATTTACAAAAGCATGTGGCCCTGTTAGGAAACACACACTCACACCTCTGAAAAGAAAAAGCCATAAAATCTGTATCATCAAAAATCACGAACTGATGAACTGTATAAGGAACTACAGGAAAATAGGAGGATGAACGTAAGAGTTAAATTTATAACTATTCGAGAAGTATGTAAGCTCATCATCTCTTTAGATTTTCATGATTCTTCTCTTGCTTAATATATTTGGAAAGAAATAAGTATTTATAAACAAACAAACAAAAAACACTAGCGGCCTGTTCCCGTTCTTAAAGTCCGGTCCTAAAAGCTCTGCGATTTGACCCAAACATGGTTACAGAGCCAGAAGGAGGCAGAATAAGTGATTTATCACGAGTAGTAGTGGCTTTGCTTTCAAATGCACCAAAACCAGAAATTCAAGATGTAGATTATAATGTAATTTTCAAGACTAGTTAAGAACCCCTCTCAGTGGAGCAACATAGTTATTCAATTAATTCGGGTGAATAAATATTATCCTACAATTGATATCTCATTAGTCTGACACAAGCTGGAGTGCGCTGTTCTTTATCACACAAGGTGCATTTCTTACTATAAAATGATACATTTTAAGAGATAGGGTGCATAATGGAAAAGTAATTGCTCCAGAAGAGATGTGTGTAACTTGTAATCTTGAAAATTAATTCTGCCTGGGCTCCATTCCAGAATTCCAGAACGATTGTTACCAGAGGAATGCCACCAAATGACAGGAACGAAGAGAATGTACATACTGCATACCCACTCCCAAGCACAGCCCAGAATTTTGTCAGGACCCCAAGAAAACTTTTTGGTCTTTCTCAATAGTAATTTCATTAAAATACATATTCCAAATGAAGGTGTGAGTGGAAAAATGAGCAGCGGAGGGAAAGAGGCCAAGAAAGGGTCTTCTAGAAACCATAACCGCTAGTAAACAACCGCTGATAAATGTGAATATTCCCATATAGTTAAGCGTAGTTTTGAGTGCAGAAAAGATTTTCAGGATATTTTATTAATATACTTTTGCAAAAGTTACAGATGCCAAAACCTAATTCTTCCCCTAGCTTCTGGGTTTAGCTTATTATTCTATTTAAAAATCTAGCAAATATTTACAGCCACTTGCTAAGGGGATTTGAATAATCCTGCTTGGTTCCCACATATCATCTTGGTAACCTAAACACCTTCAAGTATTGTAAACATCATTTATAAATTTAACATATTCTGGGGCACCTGGGTGGCTCAGTTGGTTAAGTGTCCGACTTTGGCTTAGGTCGTGATCTTGTGGTTTGTGGGTTTGAGCCCCATGTCAGGCTCCGGGCTGACAGCTCAGAGCCTGGAGCCTGCTTCAGATCCTGTGTCCCCCCACTCTCTCTGCTCCTTCCCCACTCATGCTCTGTCTCTCTCTCTAAAATAATCATTAAAAATTAAAAAAAAATAAAAGCAAGTTTAACATATTCTATTTCCTTTTCAGTTTGAAAGGTCTGATTGACAAGCCTTTCCAAATACTTAAGGAATTCAGACAAGTTAAATTAACTTTATAAATACGATAAATATTGAATCCTTTTAACATTCTAGTGAAATCAATTATTCAATTACACATTTAAAACTAAAATTATAAGATTTCACTCTAAGATACATTTTTCTCAAATATATAAAATATTAATTGTGCATAAATTCTTACCATAATGATATTAGTACTATGGTTCTGATGATTTTAAACATTTTATACTTATCCTAAATATCCCCATAGTTAAATGATGCTTTTCTCCCAGGAGACAACTTAAGTTTTGGGGGTTTTTTAACGTTTATTTATTTTTGAGAGAGAGAGAGAGAGTGAGCAGGGGAACAACAGAGAGAGAGACACACACACACACAGAATCCGAAGCAGGCTCCAGGCTCTGAGCTGTCAGCACAGAGCCCGATGTGGGGCTCGAACTCACAAACCGTGAGATCACATCATGAGCCAAAGTCGGACTCAACTGACTGAGCCACCCAGGTGCCCCTTAACTTACTTTTGATTAGTAATTTTGACTGAGAGTGAGATCTGCAACTTGAAAACCTCAGGGCAATTCTCACCAGCCACTATTTAGGTGGTTATTATTTGAGGAGTTTTTTCTCAGTATGGTTAAGATTACCCAATGGCTAGGGGTTTTTACCAAATGTAATTTTCATATAAAAATTCCTAAGTTCCACTTCTTACTGCACCCAAGTCCATGATCTAAGATACAAATGGAGTCTTTATAACCACCTAGTGGGCCCTCTGCAATCCCTGACCCCCATCCCCATCACCACTCATTCTCATTTCCTTTCCTATCTAACCTCCTACTACTCTCTCCACATAGTCCACACCAGTCCCCTTGCCACTTTTTGGTACTTGCCCAGTGTGCTTCATGCCTCAGGACTTTTGCATTGGCTCTTCCTTCTGCATGAAATAGTCACCTCTCAAGTGTATATGTGGCTTGCTTCGTGATTATCTTTAGGTCTTTGCTCAGATGCCACAACCTTCTCAAAGAGGCCTAGGCTGACCACCCTATTTAAAAGTGCAACCCTGACCTCTCTATACCCCATCCCACAATCCCTTTTTCTCAATCACCCGACACATCCGACATACTATAGAGTGTAATTATTTACTTGTTTGTTGCCTGTTTCTCCAAAGAGGGGCAGGATTTTCTTCTCTTCCTCCTCCCCCTTTTCTTTCTTCTCCTTCCCCTCCTGCCCCTCCTCCACTCCTCCTTCTCCTTCTTCTTCTTCTTCCCTCTCCCTCCTCTTCCCCCTTCTCCTTCTTCTTTCTATTGAGAAAGAGAGAGGGAGGGAGAGGGAGAGAGAGTGCAGGTGGGGAAGGGGCAAAGGGAGAGGGAGGGAGCGAATCCCAAGCAGGCCCCAGGCTCAGCACAGAGCTCAATGCTCTGTCGGTTGTGGGATCCTGACCTGGTCGTAAATCAAGAGTCAGATGCCTAACCAACTGAGTCACCCAGGTGCCCCAGGATTTCCTTTCTTAGTGCCGAATCCCCATGACCAAGAGCAGCACCTGACACATAGACGGTTCTCAGAAAATATTTACTGAGTGAATAAACACATGGAATGAAGAGGCAGACTTCTGCGTACTACAGAGAGCCCAAGTTGGTACTATTGTTTTTGGAGAGAAGAACTTTATCCTTTTTAAAGATGTGACGGTGTACAAGCACTTCAGCAATGGCTTCTGCAAGTCACGGGTACATTTGGAAATAGCCTCTCCTGTTCCTGCGGTGACCTCTGTCTGTTTTCTAAGGGCTATTGATAGCAATTGTTCACGTTTGCGAGGAAGGTTACATTTCTTTTAAAAAGTTCTTTAATCAGAATTTTCACTCTTTAAAAAAATCAGCCTCATCCTTTAATTAGTCCAAAGTGGTAACTGAAGCTCACACCCCAGTGCAACTCATTCCACTTCTTTACCTCAATCTCCCTGTTTCTCATGTATTCCATTAACCATACGGGGGGTTAAGAGAGGAATAAATTGTTTTCTCACGATGAAAGGCCTGAATAGAATAATTAGGCCAGACAATTCCCAGAGTGCAAAGGATAAATTTTTCTTCCTCGGCTATGCACCGCATATTTGCAAGCCACAGTACAGTTATCAAATATTCCGTAGATGTTCCTGCCTGAAACAGCCTCTGAGGGGACTGGAGAGGCTTGGTACAGATCAAAAAGGATGTCACCTAAATGTTTATTGTGCAGGAGGGAACTCTGGGGGGGAACACTGTTCCTCAACTTGTTTTATTACTATTAATATAAGAACAGAGAGTAATAGAAGAGCTGAGTCTGTGGCTCTCTGTGTTCTGAGTATCTGGTCATCAGCTTTATATATCTTTTTTTTTTTTTTTTAAAGCACTGGATTGGAGGGAGGGGTAGAACTACTTGCCATTCATCTTCCCGTATCAATATTCATTATGTAGGAGTAAGAGCATCTTGTCCTGACTTGAAATACACCAGAGAAGACCAATTAAACTCCCTTAATTAAGACAATTCCCAAATGTCCTCTAGAATAAAGCCAATTTGGCAGTTCTGCCACGGTGGTGTGGGCTCAGAGAGAAGCCTGACAAAAGTATCTACCCGGACTCAAAGCAATGCCCAAAGGCACAAATGACGAAAAAGTCAGCAACTCAGACTTTTCAAAGCTATGCTTCCCTTGAATTCTGTTTTACTTAAAAGGTTACCATATACAATTTGACTATTGGTGGATGCCCTATTAGATAACGGGAAGCCCTCCATTCCCAGAAGAGGAGCTACTCCAAAGAATGGGCTATAACCTTGTGGATTATTCTTTTTATAGTGGGTATTATCTGCTGTATTTAGAGAAAATGGGGTCTTTGGGTTTTTTTTGAGATTAAACTTAAGATTTTTTTTTTTTTTTTTAGAGCTCTTGAAGGTTGGTTGCTACTAGATAAGGAAGAGATTTCCATCTGGACAGGCTCACCCTTGTTCTAGAAAAACCATTTAAATGGGCCTTTCAGTTTCACTTATGTAAATATAATATAGAACCTTACTTTAGAAAAGAACACTTACTTTAGAAACCTTACTTTAGAAAAGAACACTACTTGAAGACAGATGCTGAAAGTGAATCAGGTTCTATGTCATTATTTTTCCATACACTTCAGGCTTTGATATATTGTGGCTTAGAGTTACAGCTGTCTCCTAGTTTTATTGAAGATGGAGTTTCCACTTCCCTTTACTATTTTTCTTTTTTTTAGAATAATTTATGAGGATTATGTGGTGAAGTAATTTTCTTATGTCATTTTAAGAATGGGAAGTAATATGCCATACATTTTAGATATTTGTGTTACCATTACAGCAACTCTATAAGGTGGGCATAACGGGAAAGCCAAATTTTATTAAGATAAACAGAACTGAAGAGGTTTCTGCCTTCTTGGGGAGACGCATAGTTCATCCCTGCTTAGATAAAAATGGTCTTGGAATTTTACGCATCTTTTGATGCAAAAAGGCTGGGGCTGCTACGTATTGTCTGAATGGCTGGGGCTACTTGCAGAAGGTGCTATATCTTTTTGCAAACTACACATTGTGAGGGAGTTCGCCTTTCTCTGGGAAGTCTGGAAGGAAAGGGATTAGTGGTCTGAGAACTGGGAAAAGGGGAAGGAGAAGGGAGAAGATGCAAAGAAAGAACAGAGAGGGAAGAAGAACAGAGAGAGGGAGGAAGGAAGAGAAAAAGAAAGGGGAGGAGGAAAGAGAGGAAGGGGCTGTAGTGTTTTTGAGGCAAATATCAATGGGTATTGACATGGAAAGATAGTTGCTTGGCAAGAAATTCCTTGGGGTAGCTGTGGCTAGTAAACTCTAGGGCACAGTTTATCCTAAGATTTGAATTTTGTGCTGGGTCGTCTTATAATGCTTCTCTGTTCCATGATCACTTCCTTCACTATATTTTTAGAGAAGCTGTCCCTCGTGCCTTCTAAGGCCAATCCCTTCATCTGCTCTGCCATCACAGGAACTTAATCATCTTTACTATCCCTCCCTTTAGTGTACCCAATGTCTCCCCTCTGGATCCTTCTGATTAGCTTTTCAAAATGAACTAGTCCTTCCAATCCTCTCAGTGTGTGTATCTTACACCATATATAAAAATTAACTCGAAACGATCAAACACCTAAACATAAGAGCTGAAACTGTAAAACTTTTAGAATAAAACATGTGGAGAAGACTTCATCATATTGGATTTGGAGATGATGTCTTGGGGAGAACCCCAAAAACACAGTCAACAGAAGCAAAAATTGACAAGTGCAGCTATTTCAAACTTAAAAACTGTTGCACATCAAAAGAAACACTCAACAGATGAAAAGGTAACCTACAAATGGGAAAAAAATATTTTCAAGTCATCTGATGGAAGATTAATAATTAGAATATGTAAATAACTTCTAAAACTCAACAACAAAAAAACAACCTGGTTAAAATATGGGCAAAGAACATGAGTAAACATTTCTCCAAAGTAGATAAACAAATGTTCAGTAAGAACATGAAAGATGCTAAACATACTGATCATCAAGGAAATGCAAATTAAAACCACAATGTGAGATCATTTCACATCCATTAGGATGACTGTTATAAAAAAAAAACAAGCAAAGAGAAAATAGTTGTTGGTGAGGATGTAGAGAAATTGGAACCTATGTGCACTGCTGATGGGAATGGTGTAGCCATTGTGGAAAATACCATGGTGTCTCCTCAAAAACTTAAATATACAATTACCATGCTATTACAATTTCTCTTCTGGATTTATATTCAAAAGAATTGATGGGGGTCCTGGGTGGGTCAGTTGGTTAAGTGTCCAACACGTGATTTTGGCTCAGGTCATAACTTCACAATTCATGAGACAGAGCCCCACATCAGGTGCTCCACTGACAGCATGGAGACTGATTGGGATTCTCTCTCTCCCTCGCTCTCTGCCCCTCCCCCACTTGCACGCGCATGTGCATGCTCTCTCTCAAAATAAATTAACTTAAAAAAAAAAAAGAATTGAAATCCAGGATCCAAACAAATATCTGTATATACACCCATGTTCATAGCACCATTATTCACAATAGTTAAAAGGCAGAAGCAACCTATGAGTCCATTGATGGATAAATAAACAAAATGTAGTATATGCATACAATGGAATATTATTCAGCATCAAAATGGAGGGAAATTCTGACACATGCTACAACATGGATAAACATTATGCCAAGTAAATAAGCCAGAAACAAAAGGACAACATTGTACAATTCCCCTTACAAAGATACCTAGAGTAGTCAGATTTATAGAGACAGGTAACAGGGGCAGGTAGAAAGGAGGAATGGGGAAATAGTGTTTATGGTATTTCAGTTTGGGAAAATAAAAAAAAAAATTCTTGGAAATGGATAATGCTAATGGTTGCACAACAATGTGAATGTACTTAATGATGCAGAACTTAAAAATGGTTAAAATGATAAAATTTATGTCTTTTTCACCACACACACACACACATACACACACAACTGTCCCTCAACCATCTCTATCTCGCTCCTATCCTTCATAGCTAAGCATCTGAAAAGCATTATCTTTTTTCATTTCACACCCTCCCCCACCCATTCACGCCACAGCTGACTTCAATATGACTTTTATTTTCTGCACACCATCACAACGGCCCTGGCTGTATAGGTGTCCAATGATCTCAAGACCTTATATCCAGTAGGCATTTGCAAGACCTCACCTTATTTGACCCTCATGAACATTTGATATAATTGATCAGTTCCTCCTTATTAAGTTCTGTCTCCTCTTGTCTCCTGTGCAACTACCTGGTCCCAGGTTTCCTCCAGCCTCTCTTGGCTTCTCTGTCTCCTTTGCAGACCCATCCTGTCAGCAGCCTCATCATGTGCCACATTTCTACTTTCTGTCATGCAACATACAGGTCTCTTTTCAGCACCCACCCTTCCTGCCACAGTGCTCCAGCTCATGCTATAACCTTAAATACTTTTTAGCTTAATTATCACTGTTGCAGGGAAGCCATCTCTTAAGTCTCCAAGTAGGTTATTCTTCCTTATTATTCCTTTTGTACTACGGACTTCTCCTTCATAACATCTCTGGATCCTCTTTCTCTATCTGCCTTAGCTGTAGTTTTACATATATTTTTATGACTTTGGATTAATAATATGTCTTACCGTATGGACTACATTTCATGAAGATAGGGTCATATTTATCGCTTCGTTTAGTTTTCTGATTGTGGGGAGGTTACACTCTATTCTCAGTGTATTGTCTGGTACAGAATTTCTTAATATGTTCTTTTTGCATAAATACCAGCCCCCCCCCCCCCAGACTTTACTAAACATCCATCTCAATAGTTTTCTTTTTTTGTTAGCATTGAGGGGCAGAGTGGGGAAAAAGGAGGAAAGTGCTGCAAGCTTGAAGACAGCGTCTAGACAGCTTGGAAGAAAAGATTCAGGCATGGAAAGACTCAGTCAAGCACAAGTCTCCCTTCAGGCACTCCCAGAGATGTGGGGAAAAGGGTGCAAGCCATTTCACTTGGCCACTGAGAGCAAGAATGACCCCTGAATGCTGGACATTTGGGGACATCCAGATGGCAAACCCTATGTTTGCAAAGGTGTTACTCTTGTGATCTCATTGAGAAGGAATAAGGGTTTTCAGACTCTAGATGAAGTCAAACTACATTTGTGGGTCCAAAACCTGGCAACCCAGCAGAAACTGTCACAAGACACACAGATTCTTATCCCGCTGGTCTGGGATGGAGGTCAAGAGACTGCATTCCAAAGTTACTCTGTCTCAGTGCACCCTTGTGGGATCCTGGTACACAGCCAGATTTGGGAATTGGTAGCCTAAGCAACTCTTATGGTATTTTTCACCCCTGAATTTCTATGATTTTCTAAGCACATAATTATGTTTTTCCCCAACAGAGGCTATATAATCTTCAAATCAAATCAGAATACATGGGTTAATTATTCATTCTTTCATGCAACAGACATTTGATGCAAACTTTTTTTTATCCACAAGCCACCATTAAGTATATGTGTGTACATTAAGAGTGAGATGGGGTTGGGGTGGATAGAAGTACCTCTGTCCTTAATAAAATTACAGTACAAAACAGAGACATAAGACATTCAAGGAATAATTAGGGATATGTAACGCATCATGTAAACGACAATTTCAGTTATCTGTCCATCAACATTGCCAAGCATCCAGAAAGTTTCCAAAACCACAAATAAAGTGTATTGACCATACATGTCTTCCCCTTCCCACCTCCTTGTGAGATGTGACCTCTTCTCTCTTTCTTCTATAGCTCCTACATCTCTATATTTGTTACTTTTTTTTTCTAGAACTTTGTACAAAGTGTTTTTTTCAATCTGGATATATATCAAGTACATGTGCTCTGTATTAACCTGTACAAGGTTAATAGTTTTCCAATGACTCAATTCCCACACAGAAGGAGAATGGTTATTAGCTTTGCAAAATGGTTTCTGTTTTGTGCCAAAACCAAGAGGAGCCAACAGGGGACCAAAAAGGCAAGAGAAAATTAAAGCAGAGGAAAGGGAGTTGCAGAGATGAAGGGCGCACTCCGTGTCAGGAGTGGCAGACATCAGCTGGGCTGGTATACAGCGGCAGGTGGAGGCGGTAACAGAGAGATAGTGGCTACCTCTTAGGAAAATAAGAAGCAAAGTTACAGCCAGGGCGGTAGCTCAGTGCCTTTGAAGACCAAGGCAGAGGCCACCTCTAGCAAGTAGAGGGGGCGGAAGACGATGAGGAAAAGAGGAGAAGAAGGTGGAAGCAGATGAAGGGCTCAGCAGAAACCCTGAAAGGTTGGAGGGTGGGGCCCACTTGTCACACAGGAATCAGATGATAACCACGTTCTATCTTCTATCCCGCAGGGCTTTATGTCTTCCTAGAACTATACTATCCTCACAGTGTCCTATCACTTCATACCCCTAACAAGTGCCTTGAGTCAGCACTTACAGATCATCTGATGTTAAAAATGTTCTTATTAACAGGCAGGGAAGGTGATAGTCATAGCCAAGACTCATCAACTGGTTTACCGTGAGCTCAATTCTTTATACGAAGTATGTTATTGTAACTGCTCACCAAGAAAATAATGTAGATACTGCTATCATTCTTATTTTACATTTGGAAAACCAGACAGTAACATGCTGGTAAATGTTTAATAATTCCAGAAAATCCCTAACTTATAATGCTTGCCAATTTCTATGGTGTAAATACTCCCATGTTGGCCAATTTCGACCTACCAGCATGATATCACTGAATGCAGAGTTGGGGACAGTTAGTTGCACAGTATGTAACCTGCTCTTGTATAGTATGCATAAAGTATACACATGAATGGAGTATAATATTTATAGTATAATACAAGTACAATACATAAAAATAGGCAATTATATTATTAAGAGCATAGATAATACTAAAATATAGTCAAACAATTAGGAGATGATGAGTGTAGCGTATTTGTTAACTTTATTTTAAACATTATTTAACTATAAATATACTTTAATGTTTAGTAACGGTTATGTTTAACAACCAGCTTACCAAGTGCTTGAAACTCTAATGGTCAGCTCTCATGAGCCTGTATAAGCTGGCTCCAGCATACCTCTGCCAGTCCACTGTGATCTGGAGTGCATTCACATTGTTTTTAAGTTTATTTTATTTATTTTGAGAGAGAGAGACAGACAGACAGACAGAGAGAACATGCATGTGCAAGGGAGAGGCAGAGAGAGAGGGAGAGAGAGAATCCCAAGCAGGCTCTGAGCTTTCAGCATGGAGTCTGACGTGGGGCTCAGTCCCACAAACTGTGAGATCATGACCTGAGCCAAAATCAAGAGTCAGACACTTCACAGACTAAGCTACCTTGGCACCCTCACAATTTCTAACCATTCCTAGAAACGAGTAGGTTAAAAAAATCTTGTCCCTTTAAATCAAGGACTGAATTTTATATTTTAAACTCTATCCCAGAATCCCCAGGAGATCCAAGTAGTGGGTAATCAGAGTCCTATTTTGGACCAATCTAAGAAACCAAGATAAGCAGATGAGGCATGAGGGTCACCAGGAAGTAGATATTGGTATAAGAATCCATTTGTAGCCACAGAAATAAAACTCTTCTCATGTATACCCCAAATTAAT